TCTGCGAAAAATGCCATCTACATAAATAATCGAGTCTAAAATGATTGCATTATGTAATTATGCATAATTTAATAAAAAAAAAACAAATTATTGAACAGACTAATACATCTAAGGGTGTTTCTCAGTAACAGTAGATAAAACTGCAGATATAAACAATAATAAATCAAGAATTTTCGAAATATATATTTAAATATTTTAAAATTAAAATAAATAATAATTAAATAAAATATAGATAGTTAAAATATGTTTAAGTATTTCTGAATAACTTCAGCTAGCTAAAATAAAAATTAATAATAAATACATTTTGATCTTCCTAATATCATTAATACACATAAAATAAAATATTTTTAAAAAACTCAAAAAAACAATGTATTTCCCTCATAAAAAAAATTTAGTTTCATTAAAAAATAACGAAAGAAAATGTCATAGGACAGTTGTGGAAATTGTATATTTATGAAATTTTATATTTGACTTAAAGAATATATGTTTGAATAACACACCTTCGACTTTTTAACACACAAAATATTTACGACTTTTTACTACCGATAAAAATTATCTAGAAAACTTTATTTTATAATCATCATATATTTATTTATTTATGGAATGTATTATGTGAGTTTTTTATTTTTTTTCCGCCGTGTAGGAACTAACATGTATTTTTTTACCTACTAGGTCTCGTGTAGGAACTTACATTTGCCCATATATAAAACTGAACATAATCAAAAGTGAAAATCGTTGTTACGGGTTGGCTTCGAAACTACTTATTCAATCGTCATGAAATTTTTTTTTTTAATTTAAGCAGATATCATTGAGCCGTTTTAAGCATACATTTAGTCCGATAAAATTAGTAAATGATTAGTTATTAATTAAAATAAACATGTAAATTGTGTACCTATATACATATTGTGCAGCACGGTGACCCACGGGTTCCCAGCTGCCTGCAATCTGACCTTTTTGTCTGTCAAATTATGTGTTTGATATTGGCTTGTAGATATGAATTGTACCGAGAAGTTTATTGAAAATAATCTCGCTTATCCGACGTCTTCTAACACTATAATTTTTACCGAATACTCACATTAACTAATTAATTATTTGTTATAACTTTTAATATTACAAATTTTAACAATAAAATACACGTTGTTGACATAATAAACCAATACACATACTTATTTTACAAACGTTATCCATCCGTTTTTATTCACATTTACAACAGAAATTTCAATAGAGCAGTGTAATATTATTTTGTCCGTATCATTGCGTTATATTTTTTTTTTTTTTTTTTTTTTATCGTTGAGTTTTATTATTTTGTTTTGTTTTTTATTTTACATGAAAGAGTACAAACACCACATCTATAAGTTAATTGGGTAATTATTTATTTGTCAATGTAATTATTAATATTATATACACATAGAGATTTGATCAAAATCTAAAGTAAATCTAAATTAAATATAAAGTATCTATAAAATATTCTTTTTATTTTATTGTAGCTTTTAACTCTAAAAAAGAACTCTTGAAATAAATATAATTAATATTCATTGTGAACTTCATAAATCGCTGTTCTCACAAAAGTTTACACACATTTTTTTAGTGCATTTAATTATCGGTTTAAACTCACATAATCTTTCGAATATTTCGATTATACATTTTTCTCAGTAAATTTGCCAGCATCATCGATGATTATTCCCTCCAATGTTAATTGATAATATAAATAATCGGTGTACCAAAGTCAACATTTGTATTATCTATATTTTTGTTCGTTGGCTTTTAGGCTTTTTTACTTGATTGTGTTCTTCAATTTTTTCGATGGAAGTTTTGTTTTTATGTGAATTTGGATTTGTATTAGTTGCATAATGCCCATGAAGAGGAAATCAAACCTTGACCGCTCCACAAATAATGCTATCATTCACAAGTGTACGATCAAAATATAGTTGGAGATGATAATAATAATACTACCAACAATGATATTAACGACAACAGCCATGACTAATAACAGTGATAAAAATAACAATAACAACAATTACAATAATGAAAATAACGGCAATAACGAGAAAAACAACAATAACAAGTCCGCCTTCAATTATAATAAATTTATTGAATAGATAATAAATTAATAGAAATGATTCTTACGTTTCGATAGGAAATATGAATTTAAAATGTGTCTTCTGTCATGCATTGAAATTAAATTTAAAGAACCACCAGTTCTCTGATATTCAGGTGGAAAAGTTTTATCGGCAGAGATTACTGCTTTGTTTTGCAAGTCCATCAATAAGGCACAGAAATGTCATATGCTTTGACATCACGAATCCCTCTTTTACTCGTGGACAATTTTATGTTGTTTGCTCTCGTATCAACTCGGCAAAAATTCTATAAATTTATGCGTCTCACCAAAGAACAAAAATATTGTTTACAAAGAAGTATTATAACTTTAATAAAAATATGTACAGAGATATTATATAAATTAAAGAGATATAATAAGAGTTTAAAGAAAGTTATAATTTTTTGAACCTCATTTTTTTCATAAAATATTCGAATATCTTCTGGACGAAAACGCGTTTATTATATATAGTACTTAGTTAGTATAATATATTTTTCTTTTCTCTATAATGATTAATCCTAAGGCCTTTTTTATTAAATCTTTAATATCTGTAAATTATTATAAATTATTATTTATAACTTATAATAACTCAACAAAATATAGTATATACTTATTCATCTCGTTTCACATACATGCACAAGCCCGTATCTAGATGGGGGGAGTCCAGGGTGTCTGGACCCCCCCCCCCCCGAAATTTTGTCAATATTTTACGAATGTTTAAAATACTTATTTATTTTTATTAACAACATAAATATTTTCAGTCAAAAATGACTTAAGCTCCAATTAATCATTGACTGCTTTTAATTTTATACCATAATATCATATGAAAATATGATATTAATTTTAATAAAAAAAGATTAAATCTTTTTCTGTTTTATTTTTAACCAAATATCAAAAGTTCAAATCTAAATTCAATAAAATTACAATATACATGTTTTGGACCTCTCCCGAAAAAAATGTCTACATACGGTCTTGTACATACATACATAAATACATATATACATACATACATACATACATTTGTATTGTGTAAATTGTACAAGGTAATAGGTAATTGTATTTATATATATTTATATTAATTTGATAATTAGTGAAATCCAAGAAAGGTGTGAAACAGTTTAACAGAAAATAAAGTAAGAAGTTACTTTAAAAATAAGTACTTCATTGAGTTAGAAATTCCTTAAAAAATTGTTACTCCTTATGTAAATTTAAAAAACTTACTTTAATATTAAACTCATTAATTCCCAGTCTAGATAGAAATAAAAAAATAAATAAATAAAGTCACAATTTTATTGAATTTGTATGTATGTACCCGATGATGAATTTTTAATTTGAAACTGGTTGTACCTTTATTATAAATTATTAATAATATAATAATATAATTATTATATAATTATAAATATAATAATACTCCAGACTAAGCATTTATTTATTTCTATGTATAAAATTAAGGTTAATAATAAAATGAAAAAATGATTATTTTAGAATTTTTGTTAAACTATAAATTTACAATATTAACAGCCTAATAAAAACTATGAAAAATTATTACTATACTAATAATCTACAATAGTTAATTAAATGTAGATTAAAATATCTACTATTTGTATATAATTACATAAATGCTGACATTATAATTTCTAGAAAGGTGATATTTATTGTTGTAATAAAAATATTATTGATAACAATAAGTTATCAATTGTTATTAAACCTTTAAAAGTCTGGATTAAAATGTATTAATATTAAAGAAACAGTATCGGTTCCACGTAGAAAGACGATTGACACATAATGATAGTACGTTGGTAATATTGAAACTTACAATTATTAATTTCAATAAATAATGGTAAGTCGTTTATTCACATTTTTTCTTTTTGTTCTGTATGTCTTTTATTTTATTCATATTTTGTTTATTGCATTAAATACACGGTTAGAGTATTTTAGTAGTTTTTACACAATAACCTATATAACACATATTTAACTTTCAATTGAAAACGAAAAAAGTTATTTTTTAAAAACTATTGGTGTTTTTGATACAAATTTTAAATAGATCTGTCGTTGGTTTATATTCTGTCTGGTTTTCTTTTCTTATTACGAATATTACAACTTTTTTTAAATTAATGCGAAAAAAGCAAGGATATTATTCTCAAGTAGACTAAATAACGAGTTCAAATCAAATTTTAAAATTCTTTTCGTATAAATAGATTTACCGGTATACGTTTACTTAACTTACATTCTAAAATGAATAAAATAATTAATTATCATACTCTCAACATTTTTAAACGTTTGTTCACTATGTAAAAAATAATTATTACGAACTAATTAAATCCAATTATATTAATTGTGAAATTAATTGTCAATGAAAATTCATAATATTATTGATTTTAATTGAATATTATCAAATAGTAGAAGAACATAATTTTATAAATTTAGTTAATGGCTTTTAATAATAATTTTTATATTAAATTATATTTTATATAACGAGTTGAATTATAACTGATTATTGGTTACAATGCTCATTGAAGTGTTTTTAGATTTTAACATTATATAAATATGCATTTAAGATAATTTAAATGTAAGTAGGTAATATAAGTTTATTATAATCAGTTTATAAACAGTTCAACAGTTATTCGATGAATAAAAATCGAAATATAAAATTAGAAAAAATCTGTATCACATTAAATATATTTTAGAAAATAAATGTTTTATTTTTATCAAAAACATACAAATTAGTTATTCATTATTTCGAAAAAAATGGATTGTTATGAAATTTAAAAAATATTTATTAAAATAAATGTTAGTAACTAAGTATCTATTTAATAAGTACCTAATTAAAAAGTAAAATATTTGTTAATATTAACATTATTAACATTAAACTTTGTTACAAATAGACGATTAATATTTGTTACAGTTGCAGTTGTGCAAAATTTATTTGGGAACTTATAAAATTGTTGGTAAGTATATTGGTGTACTGAATATTATATATATTTTATAGGTTACAGGTTTAAAAGAATGTCTTATAATTTATAAATATAAGTATTCACTGGTATCATGTCATTTTTAAAGAAATTATTAAATTAATAACAAATTAAAATATAATTTTAGTATATGATGGAAAAAATAATACACTAAGTTATCACACCATTATAACCATAAAAAATTACCAATATGTTATTGATTGAGTTATTAATATCATTCATTTTAATTAACTAAATAATATACCTATGTGTTATTTAATAACACATATTTTTTATATCTTTAAGTATACTTAAACCAAAACCAAAAAATGAATGGATATAATTATTGTATTTATTACATTTTTGGTTTCTATTTTAATATACGATAATTTAAGTAAATTTAAAGCTAAATTTAATGAAAGTTGTATATTTATAGAAGATATTTATCTAAAGTTCACATCCGACTAAAATAGCTAGTACCTTGTATAATAAAATTACATAACTAATGAGATAGTAGTTTTTCTATTAATTAATGGCAAAGGGACAAATTCCAATAATCTAAAGATAAAAAAAATTTTTTGAACACAGGTGTTCCAGGTGTTCCACTACGTACTATTGGTATTAAACGATTATTAAAAATGGAAAGAAGTCGTACTCCCAAGGAAAATTATTTACACAACTTTACATACAACGAGCAGGAATTTTCATTCAATAAAGCGAAAGAATTGATGTCCAAACATTTGGATTTCGATGGCTCAGTCGATTTGGATGAGAGTATAAATGGTATATCTAAAGTGTGTTTGAATAATCCTTTGACTAAAAACGCATTAAACGGTACAGTATATAATTTATTATTATTATTATATTATTTTCGGATTATATTTATTTGTATGTTTCAATTTTCTATCACTCATAATTATTCTTGGGAATTTAGGAAAAATGATGCTTGATTTAGAAAAAATTGTTAATAAATTGGACCAACAGATCGAATGCAAAGGAGTGATTTTATACGGGGCCGATGGTAATTTCTGTTCCGGGGGTGATTTAAACATGATGAAACAAATGAACAATCCGGAAATGGGATATGCAATGGCAACTTACATGAATAACATTCTAGATAAATTCAAAAAACTACCCATGATTACCGTTGCATTTATTGAAGGCTCAGGTATTAATTTATAATTTTAATGACATTTTAAATATTTTTAAAACACATTGAAGTAGAATGCTGAGGAAGTAAATGTTATTTTTAAATTTTTTCTTTACATTTTATTTCATTTAATTTTAATTGTTTTTATAACATCATAATAATTTTTAACACTTTTGGTCGAACTCGGTTAACCATGAATTGTACAAAAAATAAAACTTCACAAAAACGATTCAGGTATGATGGTGTGTGCTTGTCGACGTAATATTATTTTCAATTCGATTCAAAAAGAAAAACTCGAAATTTGTACAGGTGCCTTAGGCGGAGGAGCAGAGCTGACCACGGCATGCGATTACAGGCTGATGAGCACCAAGATGGAGACCACGGCCATCGGGTTTATTCACGCAAAAATGGGCATAGTGCCCGCGTGGGGTTCGACGGGCCGCCTGATGTCGATTATGGGCCGTCAGAATACGCTGAACTTGTTGCTGGACAGCCGGCCACTGAGGGCAGCCGAAGCGATGGACATTGGCCTAGTGGACGGTACGGTGGCCACTTTGCAAGACGCCACGGACTGGCTGTCGCAGAAGACTAGACACCACGTGAACGTGATCCGGGCCATAAAGCGGACGTTATCGTGTCACGACGACGGAACCGACGGGAGAGCGGCTGCGTTGATGGAACGCAAAATATTCGCACCGCTTTGGGGAGGGCCCGCCAACCAAATGGCTCTTGATCAGTATTTCAGTCGCAACAAATAAATGTTCTTTAGAATTGGTGTTTTTTATACAAATTTTAAATAAAGCTGTCGTTGGTTTATATTCGGTCTGGCTTTCTTTTCTTATTACGAATGTTATAATATTACACTTAAAACGAAGGACTTCATTATGCACGGATTCTATTAGATTAATGAAACTCATATTTTGAATGTTCCAGATTACTGAGGCATACAGACGGGAGACGATAAGCTGCGTCAAAATTAATCTTTTTTTAAAAGTTAAAATACAAATTAAATAAATATAAATAATAATAAATATTTAATTACTAGTTTACTAATATCTTTTTTTGAAAGTATTAGTAAACTAGTAATTAGATAAATAAATTAGTATACTGCGGCGAAAAAAAAAATTTTAAATTATACAATCTGCGACAAAACCGATAAAATACATTATACTAATTTTTTTTTATTTTATATACCTCTTATATAATATATACATATTGGTACGATAATATACATGCGTTTATCGTTTAATTAGATATACGTGTTATGACAGTTTACATATCATAATTAGGACTGTGATTTTGATGAAAATGTATTATTTTTTTTAATGCCTCAACACGTAGGTCCCTAAAAAGAAAATGTTTTTCAAGTGATATTGATTAATTTAATGTAGTTTTTATTTTTCAGTTTTTTGCATTTTATGACAAATTTAACTTTAAGTTAATTTTTTGGGCATATTTTGCTTTTTTTATGACATTTTTTAAGTTTTTAAAGTATTTTTAGAATGTATTTATTAATTCTTAAATGTTAGTATATTTGATCACGCGTTTCAGCGTTTGTTCACTTAAAACATGGACGTTTAGTATATAATCTACTAAATGATAAATTGATAAATGCGAGCATATCGGCCCAAGTATATATTTTATAAAAATTATAACACAATTAAAATGGTGAAAAATTTTTTTTGACAAACGCAGTATTTCAAATTTTCCGAGGATTTCAATTTATTTTGGATAGAGAAAATTTGAAAGACATCCATTTGATTTTGGAAAACGATTTTTTGAAGCTTCGATCTGTTAGATTATAGAAGTAGTTGAAGTATTACCTTAACAAGAAATGTGGGTTATCTGATTAACTAGTTGTAAAAACTTAAATATTTCAAGAATAATCGATATATCACTGGGATGAGAATCAGAACCAGGAATAGCGTCGATTAAGTTAAAAAGTAAAACATTTTTTTGTTTTACTTGTCTATCAATTATTTCATTAGTTAAGTTATTACTAGGGCGCAGATTTTAATGCAAAATGTATTTTTTTTTCTAAATCCTTTCGCAATGCTCAGTTTGGCAAAAATATGTTTCAAGTGGTATATATTCATATAATTCAATTTTTATTTTGAATTTTTTTTGCATTCTTGTCATATTTATTTAATTAATGCATTTTTGATATTTTCACTACTTTTAAAAACATTATTTTCATATTTTTTAAAAATTTAGCATTTTTGGAAAAAATTAAAAAAAATCAAATATTCATATTATTTTTCTTTAATCAAATTATTGACAACTACACTTTATCGTCTTATGTTATCGTTATGTTATTAAATTGTGGTATAATAGGTGATAACGATAACAATAATAAGGACTACGTGTGTGGAAAGCATTGATTAAATAAAATAAAAAAAATTTAATGCATTTTTTACATTTTTACGTCATTAATTCAATTTTTCACGTTTTTATACATTTTTTCTAAGTCATTTTAAGGTATTTTTTAGGGCATTAAAATCCGCGCCCTAATTATTACTAATAAGTAAAGTAGAAATTCTCCTTTCCAAAATTCTACAATTTGCTTGTTCAATAGTTTTGACGAAGTTTTTTAGGAATAAAACTCTATGTTATCTGCCGATAATAAATCCAAACGACGAGCAAGGTTGTCAACCTTCGATACCATATTTGATAGTTTATCCGTGTGGGAGTTCACCAAAGCAATAAGTTTGCTGTGCAATTTCTTGAGTTCATTTAAAGATTTGGTAATTCATCGAGTTAATTTTCCAAAGTAAATATTTGTAAGATAATCTTTAGTTTATAAAATTGGAATGATATAACCGAAAAAAAAAATTGAATCCGCCATTCAATACAACGAAAAGTAAAATAATATTCATTAGGAACATTGAATATATAATATTTGCTCATAAAATTAACACTTACAAGAGAATAAAAAATTAAAAATTTCAACCTATACCTTAATTTACGAGCCTTTACAAAGTTCCTGGGCATGTGCCCGGTTACACCATCTTACATCTACTCGAAATTCTTATAATGTATCTCTCTACAATTATTTATAAAAAAAATTGTCATGATAACTGATTATTTTCTACTTACAAGTCTTTCAATTTTTCTCTACAGAATTGTACATACCTCAAATTTATATGAAAGACCGTTGATTCATGATTAAATACACATATTTTTATAAGATTTATTTTACTTAATTTTAAATTTTTTAAAGAAAACAAGGAAATGGGGTAAGTGAGCAAAAAGGCAGGTAGAAAGATAGAAAAATAAGCCATCTCCATATATTCCTCCAAAAAGAGAGGTTTTATAATGTCTGTAGTTATTCTTAAGTTTTATGTCCTTCCTCTGGATAATAATCGATCATATATATAAGAAACTATCCACTCGTCACTGCATAAATTGTTAAATATTAGAGATATTTATTGTTAGCTATTAGCTACTCAAATCGGTGAGGTAATTAACAAGTCGTATTAATTGTTTAATGAAACGATTGGATTCGAGAAGATTCATTATAAATTAGCTAAAACATACAAACTAACATGTATAATATTATAGACTATATTAAACAATAATACTCACATTTGGTCATTAATTTGTGGTTAAAAATGTGAACATACCGAGAAAGGCTAAAAATCTAAAATACTTACACATGTACCTACTTGAAATGTGTACCTATCTGTATTTGTTAAAGTTGATCAACAGTAAGATAAAAATAATGGTCAACGATTTCTATACTGGACACTGGTTTTCAAAAACAGCGTAAGAAAAATTTTATTTCTGTTATATAGTAAATTGAAATATTATATTATAAAAAAAAAAAAAGAAACCTTAAAATATTTATCAGTTAGTGAGCTATTTTTTTGGTTATCAGCGGAATTGTTTACCTACAATAAAATTTTTTAAAAAAAAAACAAAACGTACCTATTCTTTTTTATCCTAAACCACATGTGAAACTTAAATCACTATTATAGGTATACTATATTATTTGGTATATATATATCTTTTATCTAAATCTATGCGTGAACAAATGAACAAATTTCACAATAGGTACATCTTATGAACGTTCAACTGTGATGTAATATATTTTATTTGCAGCCGTTTGAATTAAATTTATACAAATCGAGCGTTTCGTTTCTTATAATACTATATGACTTCATTTTTTAATATTATTTTTTCTTCGATCATTATTTCAGTTGGAAAATCACCGTGGAACAAAAAATAAATTGTAAACACTTGCTCCGTGCAATCTTGCCCTCACTCAACCTTTACTCCACCGTATTCAATGTGACGTGCGTTTTTTTATATTGCGTTTACATTACCTTCATTATTATTTATAACGTATGTATCGTTTGTCTTCTGTTTTACCGGGGAAGAAGAGAATAAAAATCTCAATGTTCGCTCGAGTGACATTTTCGAGAACGTGCGAAGTTTACCATCGTACCGTCGTAGGTTACGAGCGTCAGACAGTACTTATTATTATATTACAATTTTTTTTTTTCATTAACGACAGCCGATGCGCACATAGCTTCTCTGTACCACAACTTCTTCATGACTTCTCGTTTCCACCAACTTACGTAAGTAATATTAAAATAGCATTATATATATTTTAAATAATCTCTTTTCTTAAAATATATTATTTTTATATAAAATGACCAATTTTTTTTGAATATATTCCTTCCATTATTTTTTCATATTCAGTCAGGACTTTATTGACTTTGTATATACCTGATGATGAGTTTTTACAGAGGTACTTTACAAATACAATAATGCTCCAAGCTCAGGGTTTATTTCTTTATTTATTTCTATATTAATTGACGAATATTACCCATTTAATAATTTTTAATTTTTATTATTTCATTATTTTCTGTTTAACCTTTAATACCTTACCTGTATATATTATATATTAATTCATGAATCATTTCACGTACATAAATACATTCGTATCTTGTAAGTTGCATTAGCTATTAAGTACTTGTATTTATACACCTATACATTATTTTGATACTTATAAGATCCAAAGTTCATGCGAAATAGTTCGACGGTCTATGATTATTAATTTAGAACATATTCTATAAAATACCTATATAATAATATACCATTAAATAATAATATAAATAATATTTGATATATAACAATAATGATTATTATTTTTCTAACACAAAATGTTATTTAAACTTTTGGGATTTATATAAAGAAAAAAATAACTACACGTATCTAAAAAATAAATTAACTACTCGTAGTTAAAAAAAAAGTAAAAAAAAGTAACTCACTATATAACTAAGTTAAAAGTAATTAAATTTTTTAATTCGTTAATAGCAAGTCTTATTTATTTTTATTTTAAGTAAGTTCATGTTACAACTTGTCCAATGGTTTATAATCACTAAAACTGACGAAAAGTTATAAAAAATCGACAACGTTTACAGTATATCGATTTTCGACAGAATCGAATTTTCGTTTTTATCGTAAATCAAAAATAATAACATTTTATTTCAGAAGTATTTTATAATTGTGATGAGCGGAATAATTCTTGAGGTCGAAATCATTTACTATTTGAAGTAGACATTATATAATAGTTTTCTATAATATTGTTCTAGGTCTACAAAATGTATTTAGGAGCAGAAAAAATTTTTGGTAAACATGTTCAACTGGCGCCAGTTGAAACGGTGTGCCGAGGTTACCAACACCCGGATTTTTATATAAATGTACACGAAATATATATCAAGTTTTTTATTTAACATTAAATAAAAATAATACAATTAATTTAATAAAATTATTCTGAGCCACGCGGATGGTACGAATAAGCGGCCGCAGCGGACGTTATCGGACCTGATCAGGTGCGATAAAGAATTGGATTCATGGTCGACAGCAGACTAGTAAGCGAGCATATCGACCATGATCACTTTACCAGCGAACACTTGTGTAAGCACGCTGGAAAGGTTTGTACGGATACTGGCCCTGAAAAGAGCCATTTTTAGTGTCGACGAATGGGTCCACGAATCGCGGAGCCCCGCGGTAAATACCACTGGAGCCAGATTCGTTGTTGTTCTTCATGGCCGTGGTTGCCCGGCAGCCGTCATCGCCGTTATCTCTACTGTCGTTGTCGTCATCATAATTATCACCGGATGTTTCTATTTTTTTTATTTTTTGGTTGTTGATTGTTGTGAATCGAAGAATGGAGTGTCGATGCTCTGAAAAGTGACCGGTATGTATACCCAATCAGATATCGACGCTCCATTCTCAAATTTCGAATTTTTATCTGTCCAGTCGACAATGTAAAACGGAACTATTTCTCCGCTGTATTAGTTGCTTTCATGCCGTTTTACATTGTCGCAATGATGTTCTTGGTGGCCCTAAAAGAGCCGTTGTCATTTGAGCGCGTGTTCTGTTTCAAGATGTATTACATTTTTCACAATGTAAGTAAAATTTTCATAATTTCAATGTATTTATAAAGAAAAAAAAATGAAGAAAAAAAAAAATGAAAAACGAGTTCGAATTTTAGTTCGATAAAAAATTTGAATAGTTAGATTCGGGTCGAGTTTGTTTGAATAATTTTAAGTTCGTTTAGGTTCGGGTTCGTAATACTTTGATATTGTTCGGTTCGTCACCGAAAAATTAGATTTGACCTATCACTAATGAATACAAGCATTTTAACTAAATTTTTATTAAATTTTATCCATTTATATATAAAAATGCATTTAAAATGTCAAAAACTACTCTAAAAAGTAGAAAAGTCTTAATGAAAAAATGCAAAATAAAACTTTGATTTTTCAAATCCTCATTATATGAAATGAACTTTGTACTTGAAAAGCAATATTTTTGGACATCTAGAAAAAAATACAATTTGCATTCAAATCCATTCTTCTTAATAATATTAGATGTAGAACTATAGTACATGCGAGCATAATTGCCACGCTGTGATACTTCACTATGAAAATAGAAATTGTCAAATAACGAACAAAAACAGTTAAGGTAAGATGTCCAAGCTGCAAAAGTCGCACTGTTTTTGCGCAATTCCTATTGACTGGTTTCCAATGAGAAACTGTGAAAGGGCCGCAGCGACACGCGGCTCTTCTCAGTCGAAAGCAATGTACAGTCTGCTCATCAGCAATTTTTGCTATTATTTCCTATTTTATACTAATAAATTCCATGGCCGAATCATAGAACTTTGCCAAAGTCGTATTTTTGCTTGATCGATAAGAAATATTAATTAAAGAAATACGTAATAATTCTGTAACAATGTTGCTGGGTAGTTTAATTAGTTTAAACTTAACAAAAGATAATAAGTAATTGAACTGTTGACGTTTGAAGTCGCGACATTTTTTTTCTTTATTTAATAAATATCTTTCAATTAAAATTTCAAAAATAACTTCAGTTTTACGACTTTGATGTCCAACATCAACTTTTTTTTTTTTTTTTATTTTAGTAGAAAAATGATTTGTATTCTTATTCAATCTCCTCCAATAAAATATACACAATTGTATTGTAATTATAAAAGCATGTATCAAACATCTTGAATACTAGTAAAAATATCACACTAAATAAATAGGATCTGCAGTATTAAAATCACTTTAACTTTTTCATTTTTCGATGAACCACAGTGACCAGTCACTGGTGTAGAACAACAAGCGGACATCGGCGACTGATCATCTCGGTAGTCGCAGCAATAGCCGTGGGCACCGTACCAGTTAGTTGTTCTATAATCTTTATTCTATTATCGGTATTGATAACTTTATAAAATCATGTTATACCTTATTATTGTAGTTGACATAATGCACACTTTGTTTCGATTAAATACGCAAGACCGCGTACCATATTACTGCGCGCTGTCGACCTGTCGATATATTAAAGCAAATTTTCAATAATTAAAAAAAAAAAATGTATCTATAGAGTCATAAGTCGGAGAAGTGGTAAATCATATTGGAGCCTATAGCGGCACTTGTGATAAATCCGGCCATGTATCTAATCGATTTCTTCGCACATTGTATAATGTTAAACTTTATTTTCGCCGGGGATCGCATATCGACTTTAAGAAAACAGATTAACTTGCCACAGATTACACAGAGCCAAATCTGTACGTATCATCTGTATACCTCTACTATTTTTTTCTCCAAGTTAGTATCCAACACTGGATACAACTATCATTTTTTTATCTCCTGCGTTGTTACTCAACCAAGGTGGGTTGGTAGTAGTACTACCTTGTACCCAACATTCAAAATATTCAATCGCACGTGAACTTCGTTTTAAACAAATAAAATCTCGTTTATTTATTCGTTTTACTCGATCAGGCTTTTAAAAAAATACTCTAAATGTGTATAGGTGCTTTAGACGGAGGAGCAGAGCTGACCACGGAGTGCGATTGCAGGCTGATGAGCACCAAGGTGGAGATCACGGCCATCGGGTTTAATCATGCAAAAATGGGCATAATGCCTGCGTGGGGCTCTACGAGTCGACTGATGTCGATTATGGGCCATCAGAATACGCTGAACTTATTGCTGGACAGCCGGCCGCTGAGGGCAGTCGAAGCGATGGAAATTGGCCTACAGACGGTACAGTGGCTACTTTGCAAGACGCCATAGATTGGCTGTCGCGGAAGACTAGACACCACGTGAACGTGATTCGGTCCATCAAGCGGACGTTATCATGTCACGGCGACGGAGCTGACTGGAAAGCGGCCGCATCGATGGAAAACAAAATGTTCGCGGCATTGTGGGGAAGGCCTGCCGACAAGCACTACGGCACGGGAGACAAAAGCGGCTGATCACTTTCATTTTTCGTTCTACACGATGCAAATATAATAGTATAAATAATACGAATAAAATAGTGTCATGATATTTAAGTCTTTTACTAATAAATATATTATATCTTTTGTTTAAGAACCTAACCTGCATAAAATAATAGTAAATTCCAAGACATGTGAACAGTCTATTTTTATTTTATTTCAAAGCACAGTTTAATGGCCACAATATATAAAATTAGTGTCTCTTAAAGGTAACTTATATAAACCTGAACACAAAAGCTTAAATGTTAATACGTTATTGTCGGAAAGAAAACAATTATAATTATCTTAAATTTTAATAATATAGAATACTTAAAATTATTTTTAATTTTAATTTTATCCAACATACAGATCATTTGTTTTGTAACAACTATATATTCAATACAGTACAAAAATAAATATGTTTTCTTTTTATTCGAGTCTATTGAATGGTTTTAGTTGGAAATCACCTAATTACATTATTAATCATTTCAATTATCTAAAGTAGGTACCATTATTAATGGACAAGATACAAGTTAAATGAAACTTCAACTTCAGAAGTATAATAATAAATAAAGTATTATTTAACTAATCTTCCCAATAACGAGTTACTTTTATTAGGAACTGATTTAATAGGTACCCGATAAAAAATGAATGCATTAAAACTTAAAACAGTATAATTTATAGCATACAATAATATTACGTGGAATGACTATGTGCTTATTGAAAATTATTTAATTTACTATGAAGAGAAATTTTAGATTATTTAGTTTTTTGGAACGAATACAATTTTCCATTGGAATAGTAAGAATGATAAGTGTAATAATAATAATAGTAATAATAATAATAATAATAATAATAATAATAAAAATAATAGTAATAAAAATAATTTAAAAAAATAGTAGTTATTGAAATAAAAGTATATAATGATGATAATGTTGCAATAATAATAGTAATAATAATGATGATAATGATAATATTATAAATACAAAACCAACATGTATATAGTGTTGTGATAATATTTTCCTGTCATTTTTTCCAATGTATTAATATTATTGATATATAAAAATAATTTTTTGTTATTGAATTTTTATGACTAAAATGTGTCAAGCCAAGTGGTATGGATTTCGTAAAGTTGGATCGTCATGAATTTTACTCAGAATAAATTCAAACTTTGGAGTTTGTTGACTAGATCTCTTCTGAACCGTCTTATTGTACTGCCGATGTACGGAAAGTTTGACTGAGGATCATTAGCTGGCAACATGCCGGCTCGTGTACACGACTCGCAGCAGAACTTCTTGTAGTATGGATGATTACAGTAGGATCCTTTCACAATCAGAAAACAGTTGGCGAAAAGTCGGCTGTCCGTGCAATTTGGATGAATGTATACGCCTATAAAACGAAAATGATGATTTTAAAACAAACCAACATAATATCTACAATCATAGGCGTGCGCAAACTTGTATTTCATGAGGTGCCTACAGTACTTTCGGGGCCTATCTCAACAAAATATGTAGGTATATTTAATAAGTATAATGTTTAAATAATTAAATAAACATAATTTAAATTTTTTATTTAATATTGTGGTGTATTAGTTCCAATGATTATATTTTCTTCGAATCTTGTATATTTTTCTCAAATACCAACAATTATTTATGAATTGTACTTTTGTAGTTAATTGTAGTTATTATATTACCATAATAAGTTCTTATATAAAAATTTAGTAATTTTTTTCTATAACTAAAAATAATTTAGGTATTATTTACCAAATATTTTAGCATAAATTGAATTGAATTTAATTTAAAATATAGACCCCTACTCTTAGACTTCAATTGTAGGGCTCCATTTAAAACATTTAGGGGGTCTCCAGGCACACCTCGCACCCCCTTCCCCCATGTGCACTCCTGTGTCTATAATAATAAAAAGTCCACAAATAGCATGGCTGTATAATGTTACAGTCATATTAATATTTCCATGATCGTGTAGAGCTCTCAACGTCACACTATCAATTGAAATATTTATAATTTTCAATAAATTGGTACCAGTTATGGGAATTTTGATTAGAATACGAGTACATTTTACACGCGATTATCATTGTTAAAAAATAAATTATATCTAATACATAATATTATTTGTTTTAACAACATTCAAACAGTGTTGCTGGACAATGAATACTCAGGAACTCGAATATTCTACTAGGGTGTTATAATATAACATATATATTATATAATGTAGGTGATGTACAATTATCTCATATTTTTTTTATGTAACTGTCTGACTAATGTTTAACAATAAATTTAACTACAAAATGTGAAAAATACCTCAATTTTAAAATTATTCATGCATTGTCAATTCGTTATTTCTAAGCAACAAAATATAAATCTGTGTAGTAAAATTATAATTCTAGTTTGACTCAATTAATTTGTTTCAAATTTCCTATTTTTTCGCAGTCCAATATTTTTTAGTTGATGTTTTGCATCTAAACAAATAATTATTTCTATAATTTAGGTACACAAACCTTCTACTGTAATGTTAACAATTTTCTCATCAGAACCGTATGAGTTGTATGCTTCACATCTATAAGAGCCTGAATCCGAAGCATTGGTACGCACAATAATCAACTTGTTTTCTAAAAAAAAAAAGTTATTCATTATAAGTGCTTATATGTGTACAACGTAAACCTTTTTATGCCATAGCTATAGTATGGCTACCTGTAATTTGAGTACGATCATTGTTTCGTAATATTTGTCCGTCTTTGTACCAGTTCACAGCGGGTACCGGATAACCGTCGACTGAATAAGGAATCATCAAGTCCGAACCCACGGAAAACGTTGTAGTGGACAAAGATATGTTAACTTGCACAGGAACTGTACAGCAGTAATATGGTTATCAAATCATGGTAATAACATTCATATTAAACTAGCTAATAAAATAATGCCCATTGAAAGATTTTACGATTAAAAATAAGTAACTACACTTCTAAAATATTTGTAACAATCCACTAGATTACGTAAGATAACACTTAAAATGAAAAATCTAAAATAGCTGTGCTATAAAAGTGTAATAAAATAATTAACATATAGGTATTTATAAATGTAGGTATATTAATAATAATATAAAGTGTATAGTTATGATGTAATCATTTCCGTCACCAAAGCAAAGAAATTATTATCCCTGTCGATAAATTTAAAAAATGTTTAGTGAATAGTTAGTAATAAACCATTATTGTTCAAATTATTTTTAATTCATGACATACAAAATATACACGAATGAAAAAACAAACACCATTACATAGAAGTGTAATCGAAGATATTAAAATGTATATTGTATCGATTTTTTAATAAAATTATTACTTGTTAGACTAAGATCACACGAAGAAAATTAATTTGGTTATAAAAAATTTTAGTATTTTTAAAATAAATATATTATGCGAGTAAAAAAAAAATAAAGAAAATAACCGAATGCAACGAAGAACCAATGTTATTATGAGATTCCCCGTAGAAAATAATCATGTGCATTATTAGTGTAGTGAAATAATAGAAAAAAATTTAATAATTTTTGTCCATCCGTTTTACCTATAGGTAAACGTATACGTCTCCCGAGAGTGTTTATTTGATATCAAGTTCTGTCTGAGATTAAGTCCTGTCGTACTGAACCCATATCTCGGTTTCTATGAAAGCTTACGTGAAATAGAATTAAAAATTACCGTACAACTCGCGACATATATGAAAACAATCTCTGTCCCGCGCACAGGACATACGGAACGCATAGTTATTTCGCGTGTCTTATCCACGAGGGGTATGTTTCTGTATATGTATGTGTGTGTGTGTGTGTGTGTGTGTGTGTGTGTGTGTGTGTGTGTGTGTGTATGGGTGTGCACAGTGGTGTAGTTACGTGGGGGGGTAAGGGGTTTCCATCACCCCAGGATTTTTTTTTATTATCATATTTAATTATTATTTATTAATATTTACATATTATAGTAAAATGATATTTTCAATTTACTATGATAAGGTATATATTACAAATTGAGTAATAAAATACTTTTCATTAAATACGGGACATAATAATAATTACATTTTAAATGTAATATTATTATATAGGACCTCGTAAAGGTGTACTAAGAATATTATGAATTGACTCTTAAACACCCAAACCCCCCTCCATCAGAAAAAAAGTGTATCTACACCACTAGGTGTGCACGTCAAATGCTTCTGAAAGTAGTTAACGGCGGCGGTGAGCGAGAGAGCGTGTGGCTTACCGGTGAACACTCTCGCCTGCGTCTGCGTGGTCTCCTCGTACGTTTGCGTGGCGGTAGTGGCTATCCTATAGATGGGCGGTGGCCTGGTGATCCTGGCGTCGATCGGTCTTAGCCGGATCACGTCTCCGTTGTACGGTCGTCTGGGCGGCGGCAACAGGTACGGGCTGGCCGGGTAGTTGCCGTCGGCCGTGCCGTACGCCTGGAGCGTCACCGTCCACGACGCCGCCCTACCCTCGCCGTTATACGCCTGGCACGTGTACGGGCCGAGCAGGTTGACCGTCACCAGCCGTATCAGTAGCGAGTGATCGTTGCGCTGGTCGAACGTGTCGGACATCATCGGCAACATCCGGTCGGCCCGCCACCACGTGACGATCGGCCGCGGCCAGCCGATCGTGTAGCACTGCAACACGGCCGGGCTGTTCAACGTGACGGCCACGGCGGTGCTTTCCTCTCCGATGACGTTAGCGGGTCGAGGGACCGGGTCTGTGGGTTAACGTGTGCGACAACCGTTGGAGAAGAGGTGTGGAAAAAACGCGATGGACGGCGAAGAACAACGACAACGACGATGATAACAATAACAACAACAACAACAACCACAACAACAACACCAACCACAGCAGGGTAAAACACATGCAAACATCGAAGATGATATTATTATTAATATTATTATTTTTAATTAAGTTTAATGCGTACAAGTGCGAGTTATTGGCGCGTTAGTTGCAGAAAGAACCGAAGCGAAGCCTTAAAATAATATCGGTTACAAATCGTTATAGTAATATTTAGTTCGTCGAATAACAATATCGTAATAAAAAAATCGTGATATTACAACGGAATTATTTCTGTTCTCTAATCTTATTCCATTTGCTTTATTTCATTGTTAGTAAACGTCTCTTAGCTTCATAATTTTCATTTAAATTGAATATTACAAAATGCGGCAACTGTCCATAAGTTACACTATTTAAATAGTTGTTGGTTTTTTTTTTTAAAAAATAGGTAAAGTATATAAAAAACAAAAGTTATTGGAAATCGGTAATAACGATTATAAATTATTACGTGAAACGAATTTAATAAAATGCAAATCACTTTTCAAAATTACCGTTAATATGAATTATCGGTCACAGTAATTGGGAGGGGAAAAACGGTCACGTACCTTTGACTGTCAAGTAGACCTCTTTCCTGATCGGTTCTCCTATACCGTTGCTAGCTATGCAAATGTACAGTCCCGAATCGTATCTGTAAAGTCCTATGATCTGCAGCGTACCGTCACCGTACAGCTTGTAACGACCACCTGATCCATCGATCTGAAACAAAAAATACGCATAAACGCGTTAACGATAAAATACATGGATCGTCAGTTATTGTTGGAACTTTTTTTTTTTTATAAATTTAAACTTTCTATTTTCTATCGTAATATTACCAGTGTCGTGTTCTTCTGCCACACGATCGTTGGCGTAGGTCTACCGACGACTACGCACTTGAGATTGGCGTAATTTCCTTCTTCAGCCTCTACGATCGGATCGGCTGCGACTACTTGAGGTGGCGATTCTGTCCACATACGGAAAATAAGATAGTTATTATGGTACTATTATCACAACAATTGTTATATTCGTTGTTTCATGTACAATTTCGGTTAATTAAGCTTACCTTTTTCTTGTGATTCCGTTGTGGTTGTCGTTGGCATAGTTGTAGGAGTGGACAACTGTGGCCGTAAACAAAACGTACCACAACCATTGTAGCAACACTTGTCATCTCCCACACAGTCTGCGTCTGTTCTGCATTGTTCCGCACAGTCCACCTGGTAGGATGCTAGTTGAGGACATTTACCCGGTTTGAACACTTGAAATAAAGAAGTAATACTTTTTACTTATATTGATTTAAACCGATTTATAAATATATATATATATTTATTTATTGATATATGTTCATAAAAACATCATCTTAATGTTTACAACGTGACATTATAAATAATAAATAATAATATTTATAATATGCACGTATATTGTTGATTTTTTAATTGGTTTACCTGGTCTACACGAAACTTTATATTTCGATTCTCCATTATCCGTTGTAATTACATCCACGATACACTGGTAATCAGCTGGACAGATAGATTTCTGATCTGTTCCTGGTGAACAAGGATTATAACATCGGCAATCTTCACAGCCGACGGCATTGACCCAATGTTCAAGTCCATAAGGACACCGCGTTGCTTCTTCAGATAGTTGTTTGCATCGCAATTTCCCGGCTTCGCAAATGTCCGTAGAAATTTGTGGTTCACCCGAAGGCTTAGAAATTCGTGTATCTTCTTCAATTTTATTTGCTGCCCAATGATAATGGTTATACTCATGTTTTATTAAATAGTTTCATCATAAAAATATATGATTATAATACTTACCGTTAGGATCAAGATATGGATAGCATGTTCTTTCACATTCTTCAATCGTTTGGAATTTATTAGCGTTTCCTTCACAACCTCCATATGAAAAAGGTTCGCATCGTCTGGTCGATGTTTTAAAGTACCACATACTTACCTAAAATAATAACAACAGTAATAATATTTAAGCATAATATGTTTTATAAATAACATAAAACGTATTGAATCAAGTTCATTTTACTGTTTGGAGACAAGGTCCAGGGTCAAGAGGAATAAGGCAAACATCACTTGGTCGCACTGGAGCCATTGATAATGATGAAGCGACTGTAGTTGCGGAATTTTGTACACAACGGGCTTCACAAGAAAGTCGGTCGTCAAAGCGATTCGGGTTTCCTTGACATCCTCCATATCGAAATTGTAAGCATCTGTCGTTATTTGCATCATAATACCATTGTATAAAATTTCCATTGCACGGCCCTTCAAGTTTCGGTAATTTACATAGATCTACAAAGAAAATGTTTACATTTAAATTTAAATTTTTAAATTAAATAGAATACTCTAATTACCTTGCGTGTCGTAGCACTGTTGTTCGCATTCTTTTTTAGAACCGAAACGGTTTTCATTACCTCCACAACCACTATACATGAATTGCCTACATACACCGTTTACCCTGTCATAGAAATATTTAGTAGTCATATTACTACAGCTACCACGGTCTTCGTCCAAATAGCATATATCTATAAATTGCGTTGAAAAACAAAAATAATTAATGAAATAGTTTTTATTATAATTATGAATTTTTTTAATAAATTAATAACCTTTTGAAAACTGTGGTGGTGATAATGTTGTAGTACGACCAGAATCAATACATTTACTCTCACAAGCATATTCCGAAACGAAATTATTTTCATTTCCAGCGCAACCGCCATAATAGAATTGTCTACAACGACCTTCCAATGAATTAAAGTACCATCTATTTACGTAATTATGGCATTCACCGACAAGAGCTGGTAATTTACAAGTATCAAGTTCTAAAAAAAAAAAAAAAATAGTCAATTTATTTATTTTGTTTCTAATTTAAGTATAAACAATCATAAATAAAATGTTTTGAATCATTTTATCAGTCACATGCTTACTTCTCCTGGGTGGACATTTCGCTTCACAGGACTCTTGTGTCTCATAATTATTAGAATTGGCACCACAACCAGTATAATAGAAAGGCTTACATGCATTTTCGTTGTTATCAAAATACCACCTCGGGATCTTCTTATCACAACTACCCCGAGCAACAGTCATCAAACATTCTTCTAAATATTTACCAAACCCACATGCGTTTTGTGTTAGTAGCAAAATACGATAATCAAACAAGGATTTAATATTAATCTTACATTATAATTAAACATATTATGTATATTAACATGTAATATTTATTTACTTTTTGTTATGATTAATGTTATAATGCATCGATAAGTAAAATTAATAACATCTTAATTTAAATTTTATTAAATTAATAACGTCTAACATCCCAAGTCTAGATTAATTTTATAAATATATTAGTCGGGTGTTATGTCTGTGTTCATAACCCTTGGATAATAATTCATTGTATATTCTGATTGTGATTGAAACTTAATTTCATTTCTTTCATAATATCCGTAAATGTATAAACAATAAGGTATAATACCTATACTTGTTGATTTTCATGGTTACAATACCAATAAACTTTAGAATGATTATACGAATTAGTTTTATACGAGTTCATAGGTAAAATTGTAGTTCAAAAAATATCTTCTTTTAAATCTTCTAGAAAGCAAGTTTATATATATTTTATTAAATTTAAATATAAATAGCTAGTAAGAAATGTTTTATTTGTTTTTTCACTGAACTTTGTTATACATTACATAAGTTTTAATAAATATTGAATATTTATATATTCAATTTATTATTTTATATGTTGATAGTGTTATTGATTAAGATTATCTATCTACTTGTCTCATGCAATTTCATAACAAATTTATAATTTATTTTTACAAATATAACTAAAATATGTTGCTTCTACTTAAAAGATTCAAATATACCACACTCACCTTGAGTTTTAAGCGGATTTACACATTTATGGCTACATGATTCCTTCGTTAAGAAATTATTTTGGTTTCCTTTACAACCACCATAGTTGAATAATGAACATGTTCTTGCAGATTTATCGTAATACCAACGTGAGTAATTACCTTTGCAAGGTCCAGGTGTTAAAGGTTGGTCACAAGGATCTATTTATAAATATGATAAAATATAATTTAATTTGTAATAACATAATAAAACATTAATAATTTATTAACATTATAAATATTAACAAATTTTTATTGTTCAAATTGTATTACCCAAAGTATCAGGCATAACACAAAGGTGTTCACATTCTTCACGAGTTTGGAATTTGTTATTATTACCGAGGCATCCACTATAAACGAATTGTGCACATTGCTTTCTATCTTGATCATAATACCAAGTGAGATAATAACCTTCACATGGACCGGCACTTTTTGGTAAATAACATGCGTCTATGAAAATACAGTGATTGATTTAGGAAATAAATTAGACACGTGAATTTTACATAAAAAATTGTTCAATGTGTGTAAAAAAAAAGTTTGGTAAAAATGGTAATATTGATTTTCGTTACTCGTATAAATTTATTATCACCACTAATATGTAATTATTATTTATTTTGTAGAATCTTATCATAATTTTAAGTATTTATAAATGATAATTTTAATAATATTTAATTTAAAATCAACTTCATTACTTTTAACAAAATTTTTCCATTAAAAGAAGTTCTACCGGAGAAGATCCAAAAAATCAGTGCATAAATTAATAAAAAAACAGTGATCGTTTAGTTGGATAAAGTATGGTACAACTTTAATAAGTAGAATTCTTTAAAAATAGATTCTTTTTTTTCGAATATAAATACTCGTGTCATATAAGTATTATAAAATCTTAATAGTGGACTTAATAATAACTAAACAAATTTATAGAACCCTAAAAAAAATAAGTTTGTTCTTTGTAAATAATTTACTTTACTTGTAAAAATTGTTCCATGTACATTTATATTTATACACATGAATAGATCTTACATCCCTAAAATAAATAGTACTCATATCCATATGTTTGCTTATTTACCTCGCCCAGATGGTTCAACACATGTATCTTTGCATTCTTCTTGCGTTGTGAAACGATTATTATTGCCATTACACCCTCCATACCAAAATCTTGAACAGCCACCATACTCGGTGTCAAAGAACCATTTAACAGTGAAATTGGAACAACTACCACGGTCTTTCGATTGTTTACACCTTGCTAAAAAGTTTAAGACAAATTGTATTATATGTATATATGTTGTGAAACAAAAAACATAATGATATGTAGATATGCAATTTGTATGATAGATACCTCCTGGCAAAACGGGTTTAGATTTACATCCATCGAAATTTTCTCCTGTCGCTTCACTAATACCATCTAAACAACATCCATACTTAGATGCTTCACAACTACAATTTTTAGATTCATCTGGAGCTGGTGTATTTTTATCTGGACAACATCCATACTGAGAATTTTCACAGCCACATCCTTAAACAAATTAACAAAATATTATAAAACGCATAATAAATTGGAATATTACTTTTGACCACTGTACCTTGTGCGTGAGGACCAATGGCTTTAGTAATACCATCAGGACAACAACCAAATTGGTATGTATAACACGGACAACCTTGGTACTGAGGCCCTGAAGCTGGAGTAAAATCATCTGGACAACATTTATGTTCAGTATATTGGCAACCACAACCTAAGTTATTTGGTCCTCTTGCAGTAGTAATGTTATCCGGACAGCATCCATAGGGTGTATAAATACATCCACAGCCTACATTTTAATAGAAATTATCTATTCATAATATATGCATCCAACAAATAAATATAATTAGTGTCTGAAAATTTACCTTGTAAATTGGATCCATTAGCTGGTAATATATTATCGGGACAGCAACCATATTGGGTGTACAAACAACAACCTTCTTTGTTTGGACCATGTGCAGCAGTAATATTGTCGTCACAACATCCAAATTGTTCATTTGCACATGAAGGCACACAATCTTAAAATAATTTACAATTACTGGTTGTTCATCAAAGATAAAACAAGAAATTATAAATATTACTACACGGAAGTTAAAAGGTTCTATTTTTATTTTAAAATTTAAATTTTTATTAAGTTTTAAATAAAATATACAAATTAACATTATTAACTTTTAATAGTATTTTATTCTAATTTTAATAATAAGTTTACCAGTATTGTTTTCACCATATGTGCAGTTATCAAAATCAATTCCTAAACATCCTTCAAGATTATAACCCGCTGCCCCTGTAACTCCATCAGGACAACATCCGAATTCTGATAATTGACATGAATCACTTGGTTCTTCTGAAGTAGTTGATACAATTATAAAATCATCAGTTGTCACTGAAATATAAATGTTTATAATTGGAATATTTAATAATTTTATAACAAATATAGAATACATTGGCAGTATAAATAATGTTTATTAAATATATAAGTATTTGTGTATTTGTATAAAAGTAATTTAAAATAAATCATTTTAAATGAACCTAAAAGAAAACTCAACTTAACAAAATAGATATAACATGTCGGTAGTAGAAAATTTTTAGTAATATCCAAGAGTAAATCATTTATTTCACCAATTTTGGTTTAAGATTTCTATAACAATAATTTAATTTAATTTTTACTTTATCAACAAAAATGATTTATTATCTATTAATATTAAAATCAATTAAATATGTTACTACTATTAAGTAGCTTATAATTCAATAAAATATGCATGATACAATTGTAGCACTTAAAAATTATACCAACACTTTGTACAACTAATCTGTACAAAATAAGTTATTTTATTTATATGAATTTTTTTTATAAAATTATGTTTATAGGATTTTTATTTGTAACATTTTTAATTTATAAAATGGTAATTTAAATTATATTATTAGTTATTTATTGTTAAAAAATTATAATAATTAGTAAATTACTGATAAACAAAATGATAAAATAATATATATTGCGATTTAGTCCACTGTGGTTGAAGTATTAAAAAAAAAAAAAAAAAAACTATAAACTTAAATATACATAAATATTTTTTTTTAGCAGATGAACCTTTGAGTATAAAATCAAATATTCATTTTTGAATAATACTAGTTTTATAGGACCTTGTTTTATTTTGATACTAATTAAATAAAAAAAAACAGAACAAAAAGAATAATTATAGTTTACATTTTTTGCAATAATTATAAACAACGTACGATTATCTTGGCAACCGGCAAAATCGGGTCCACTAGCTGCAGTGATATTATCTGCGCAACAACCATATTTAGTTTCTAAACATGAGTCACATTCTCCTGATCCTTCAACACATTCGTAACATCCTTGGAAACTTGGCCCCGTGGCAGGCGTTATTCCATTTGGACAACAACCAAATCTATCATTTTTTAAAAAATCAACATTATATATAAATATGTTATAAATATTTTTTACTACGGTTAAGTGAACAAAATAGTATTACTGAGCATTTTTACATCCAACGTCAGGTACCGGAGTAGTAGTAATAGTTATATTAGTTAACTCAACGGGACATCCTTCTAAATCATTTCCTTGTGAAATGCTGTAACCATCAGGACAACAACCATATAAAGTAGAGTTACACGTTGAAGGAGGACATCCTTCATTTCTGGGTCCAGTCGCAGGAGATACACCATCCGTACAGCAGTTATATTCTGTGTCTTTGCAAGTGTGTATATCTGGACAACCTGGAAAATAGTTAAAACTAGTTAAAACTTTCTATTTTCATTTTAAATAAATAATTTAAAATATGTTCATTTTTTTTAGCCTTACCTGCACTGAATGGTCCTTTAGCTGGAGTCTTTTTATCATAACAGCAACCAAATTCAGATGTCTCACAACCTCCTAGTTTTTTTTTTCTTTTACAAACACGTTTCTTCTTTGTTGCACTAGCGATCAATGGGTTTTCATTTTTAGTAACACCTGTAAAATAAATTAAATTATAAAGAATACTAGAACATTTAACAATGTATTATAATTTATAAAAATAAATACTTTTATACCTTTTTTGGTTGTAGTTATAGTAAAATCTGTCGATGTCGGTATAACAGAAGGCATTTCACTAGTAAAACTGGTAGTGCTCATTGGTAACTCCGTTGATGACATTATTTCAGTGCTGGATGGTGCAAATGATGTAGATGACGACGATGGTTCAGTGCTCGATAATAACTCTGTAGTTGAAATCGAATTTGTAGTTACTTCTGTTTCACTAGTGTCAGTTATTTCACTGGTTGATATTGGTATAGTTGTTGATTCTGAGTAGGTAGTTAGTTCACTAATTTCAGTAGTATTTTCAGTAGTCGATGATGAAACTATTTCTGAAGTAGATACATTTTCAGTACTCGTTATTGTTTCAGTTTGAGATGAATCTGTCGATTCTGTTAATGTTATTGATGGCGATTCTGATGCAATAGAACTTAATTTAACTGTAGAAGACATATCAACAGAAGTTGAATCTGACGTTGACATCATATCAGTTGTTGGCCCATCGGTTGTCGACAATTCAGTTGTTGACACATCGGTAGTCGATATATCGGTGGTCGAGACATCAGTTGTCGATATATCCATATCAGTTGTAATCAATGAATCATTATTTTCTATTGCACCTTTAGAATTGACAAATTTTAATTTGACATCTGCTATTTCAGCTTGTCTCTTTTTTCGTTTAATAGAAGGAATAGTGCTCGTAACAACGGTTTTATCTATCGAATCAGAAGTAGTTATTGACTCTTTGAATTCTGTTGTAATATCTTCATTCGAAGTAGACATACTATTATATGTTGATTGTGCATAAGGTATCGTTGTGACCTATTACAAAATATTTTAATTATTAATAAGTAAATTATAAAATTGGATACAAAGTACAAAATATGTGCCTGCTTTGTTTGAAATTAATTAATTTATTTATTTATTATTTTTTAATGCTATATATAATAATAGAAGCAAAATTACTTCGGTATCTGGTTCAATTGCAAAGGGAGTAACAGTTATAATTTCATCTTCACATTCTTCTTCTAGCGTATCTTCTTCTACTATTGACTTCTTTGTCTCCACAGGCATAATTTGATCTAGATAAAAATAAATTAGTACTCCTGTCTTATGGATAATATGAAAATGTTAAATTCTCATACAAGAGAAATAGTTTATTTTTACCTTCTCCACAAGGCTGTTTGTTACATTCATCGCTTGTGTATAATAGTGTTTCAGGTTTACATTGACTAGTATCTACAGTTTTGTTTCCAAGCATGCAAAATACTTTCCTACTCTTTTCTCCCGAACCGCATGGTTTTGAACACTAGTTATGCATTCAATTGGATTAAAGATAGAAAAAAATTAATATTTAGTGAAATAAATTTAACGAAATGTAGAAATGACAATGATCTGTTACGTACTGCTGTCCAAGGACTTGCAAACCATTCTCCTTTGCACGTTTCTTTTCCGGTACAATTTTTGGTATCTTCATATTTTTTACTTGGGTCACATTTTACGCTATCAACTTTTTTTATTGTTTCGCCTACCAATGAACCACAAAATACTTTTCTTATTTGCACTCCAGTACTGCATTTCGATGAGCACTGAAAGTATTTTAAAATTGTGTTTAAAAGCATAACTTATTAAACAGAATAATATTATTTTAATGGTTTCTTTAGTATACCTCGCTCCATTGACTAGCGTACCACTGAAACTCGCATGCGTCTGAAGGAGTACAATTTCGTTGTGATTCTGGTTCTTTCAAATAATTACAAAATTTTTTATCATATAATTTCCCTTTAGCATTTGCACAAACTACTTGTCTAGTTTCAAAATCCAAATTACAATCACCGCACTAAAATAAAAAGATAATTACGTGAAGATAAAACTAATAAATTAATAAAAAAACAAAATGTTTCTTACTCCTGACCAAGCAGATGTTATATAATCTACACCTTCGCATGGGCGCAGTTCACAAGATTTCGTCGTTTCTGGTTTTTGAGCCTCGCATTCATCATCATTTAAAACGATAATTTTTTTACCCACTTTTCGGTAACAACTTACTTTTCTGGTTTGCTTACCAGCCCCGCACAATTTATCACACTGTATGCATAAAAAAAGTGTTATTTAATATTATTAATGTTTATTTACGTGTAATTTAAAAATAATTTTATTTTATGTGATCATAAACATATTTTAGGATCTTATTTACTTGAATTTTGGGTACAACTTTTCAAAAAAAAAAAAATAAATAAATAAATACAATCGCTTTTAATGTGAAATATAATTTTTATATTTAACGTAGTTTTATACTTAAATAAAATTTGTAAATATGAATGACTTATCATTGGGTGTAACTTTTACATTGTATACTAAAAATGTTATTCGTAATAGTAAAAATTGTTTTTTAACTTACTGGCTTCCAAGGGTCAGTATACCACAGTGGGCACTCTAATCCTACATTGCATGGTTTTACAGTGCTCGGCTTAACTCCATCGTATTGATCACAATAATTATTATCAACAGGAACATCAACACCATTGATACGTCGAACACATTTAACCTAAAATTATACAAAATACAGTGACATGTTTTTGATTCAGTGTGTTGAAAATCGTTTAAAATTATATATAAACAAATAAATAGTTTATGTATAAAAATAAATTAATAAAATCTTAGCCTGGAGTATTATTATATTTGAAAAGTATGACCGGTTTCGAATTAAAAATTCATCGTCAAGTATATTCAAAATCAATAAAATCGAGATTGAATATAAAAAAAATAAAGAAAAAATACATTGAGAAAAATTGTTCGTTTTCCATAGGGATAAGTTATTTTGATAGGAGAGATTATTTAAAATGAGTTCAAATTAGACATATATAAGTTAAGAAATATAAATACTTTGGTTTATATTATTTATTATTATCTAAAATGTATTAATATAAAATATTTTTTTAAATCGGTTTATACATTTAAAATATTATTAAAATGATTTTTCTTTATTTGGTGGTGTACGTATAACTCTTCTAAACCTGAATTAATGAAAATGGTATTTTGGTTATTTAACATTTCTAAGTCTTTATTGATATCAAAATGTGTGTTATAGTTATTTTCTAAACATTATTTTCTTAGAGGCAGTCTTTTTCAATTTTATTACAGAAAAGTATTCTTTATATCTTATTTTTAAATTTTTTATTTGTCTTACCTTAATAAAATATAATACAATCATATTTAAGTTTAAATAATCCAGAAATTTCAAAAGAAAGATAATTTTTTGTGAAGTTTTTAATTCTATTATTTATATATTTGATTAAATTATTAATAATTTTAAAAACAATTTTTACATTATCAGTATTATTATTTTGAATTATAAGGAATTCTATTGTTAGATATGAGTATACTTCTTTAATATTTCATACTGCAACAGTAAAGAACAATATTTGGTGAATTGTGTTATATTTTTTTCTTTAATGTGTTTTTATAATTTTTTCATAATATTTAAATTGAAATTATTACTATATATTAGATAAAATTGAGGTCGTATTTATTAATATATTAATTTAATAAAATACGTTCAAGTCTACAGAATATTGAATTAAAAAATGATATTTTTCGAGAATAATAATAAATAGAATGATGTGATATTACACTATCATTTTGTGTAGTTTTCCTGTAAATACTAAATTCAAATTTTTTATCTATTATGAACATTTTAAGATCTAAGAAATTATGTTAATTATTTATTTGCATTTCGAGTATTAATCATTTACTAATTTTTAATTTTTGTTTTCTTTTTTATCATTTTATTATATGTATGTGTTAATGTAAAATTTAAAAAATAAATAAATTGTACATTACAATATTATGTAGTTAAAAGTGATCTAGCTTCTAGACTATCTAAATAAATACCTGTTTAACTCATTTCAAATTTAAGTTATAATAATTATATCTTAATTAATAGTTTACCTCTCTTGTTTGAGTTCCATTGGTTCCACATTTATGTGTGCATTCTGTCCAATTAGCTGGAACCCATTTAGGTGGACATGGTTCCATCGAACAAGATTGTGTCTTTATGGGTTCCAAACCCGGGTCACAAAGTTCTGCAGGTACTGGCATTGAGTCGTTCTTTTGAGCACACCAAACGTTTCGAGTTTTTGTACCTGAATATATTATTCATTTTAAAATTATATAAATTAATAAAGTAATTAAAAATAAAATAATTAACAATTCACTTATGCTGTTTATGTATATTTCAAAGATATAAACACATTAGGTAAAGAATTTAAAAGTTTTTAAATACGTTTTTTAGTATTAAAAATAACTAATATAGCACTTTATTCTGCATAGTCTAATAATTGTTTATACTCTATAATGATTTAAATACAAATTAATATATATTATATAGGGAGATGATATCATAATCAATGAAAATTAATTTGAATTTTGGATAATTATTCAAATTCAATTAAAAATTAGTTTGATAGAATTCTCGATACACAATTATATACATGCATTATAATATACAAATATAAATTTATAAATATATATTTTTGTTTTAGATTGGATCGAAAAATGTCTTTCGGAATTGGCAAAATATTTATAAATATTTGAGTGGTAAAATAAAATATAATAAATGTATAAAAATCTAAGCAAGGAAATTATATAGTTATGTTTTTATTTTAAATGTTATCACATATAAAAATTTAATTTTTTTATTCTTAATAAATATTCATTTTATTATAGAATATATATTTTCGTATTTTCATATTTTTTTATTTTTATTTTTTCTAGTTTCTGATTTAAAACGTAATGTTTGTTTGTTGTATAAATAATAAGTACTTATTATCAGAAGTGTGAAATCATAGAATAGACATTTTTTTTTTTTGAAAAATATAAATTTACTAGTATATTTATTAAAGTATAAAACTGAATGTTGTTTCTATTAATTTTAAAACTAAATACTTATTGCTCTTTTATCTTATTTAAAATTAAAACAAAGCTAAGAATGATCAAGTATAATAAAAGTGAAAAAATATCTATTAAAAGATTATTTGATACGTATAACTATTCTTAAAGTATAATTATATATAAGAAATATAAATTGTAGAATTGAAACGAAATAAAAATATAAATCTGCATCTAGTTGTATTAAAGGTTTCTATAATGAATTATTTAAAATTTAAAATATGCTGACTTACCTCCACCACAGGTTGTGTTACATTCAGTGAATTCATTATACATCCAATTGTATCCTTTAGATAATGTTTGTTTTACGGCACTAGTAGGAATACTGTACTCATATTCGATTCCTGGGTTAACTTCTTGATACAATAACTAGTTATATACATAAAACGATGATTATTAAAAAAGATCCTCAACAGTAAGTAAATGACATTTTTAATTAAAATGAAAATTATTTATTTAAATAATTATCTTTTTATATTTTTAAATTATAAATTTATTAAGATCTTCAAAAGTTAATTAATGATTCTATTCTGATAAAAAATTAGATGAATTAACTAGTTCATAAGTGAAACTACATCATAAAATAAGTATTCAATAAAAAATAAAAATTATAACACGACATCAAATGAAAAACCTCATTCATAATTTGTTTTTTATTACATTACAAAAAAAATAAAAAATTGTGTACGAGTATATAACATATTTATATTTGAAAAATAAAATTACAACTTACCACAATATAAATTGCTTCTGAGATTGGTCCTAAAGCTGTAACTGTTTCGGGTGTATAAAGAGCTCGTTTTTTCCTTTCATAATGAAATATGGTATTACATATTTGCAAACTTCTAGGATAATCTATCTTCCAATTACCATTTAGATAGTAGTGCCCAGTAATATTTCTAATTGCTTTGTTAAAATAATTTTAATATCATTATATGGATTATAAAAACTAAACCAACAATGCTAAGACTGAAAATTACCTAAATAATTATTGGATGGTTGGATTTCTCTTACTTTAATATTTGTAGCACCTGCTGGAATTAACAATATATCCGTGTACCCTGAAAATACAATCAATTTGAAAATAATACAGCTTTATTTTCTTATTATTTAAGAAGAAATGTTTAAATGCAATATTTCTTAAATTAAGCACTCTCCATTTTTATGATACTTTGATATCAAAAATAATTATAAAAAAATTGTAATAACTACATACCGTATTGTAGATCATTCATGTCCAAAATACCTTGGACAGTATTACAGTTGGAACCATCACCTCCACAAATACGACAACGATCTTCTCTTTCTGGTGATCCTAATAGGTTATCACATCCAACGGGCTAGAATTTATGTTTGAAAAATAAAAAATTACTACTTATTACATTTGACTATGAAATAAATTAAAACTGGTAAAATAAGCAAATAAATCAACAAAATATTTTGTTATCGTTTCCTTTATTTTTATTAATACTTTAAACCTTATTTAATAAAATTACCAAACATTTTCCATCGACACAAACATCAAGTTTTTCTTCGTCACATTTTGTACCATCAATTACTTTATTTCTATGCCTGTAGTAAAATCGTTCACCTTTTGGCATGCAATTTAGTTCACATTTGTTCGGAGCTTTGGTATAGGGAATCCATCTAGATATTGAATTAATTTTTGAACACAAACATTTGAAATGTAACGTTTTTGTTGAAACTTACTCGTATTTCGAACCTTCAAATGGTAATCGGTTAAATGCTGAACATTGTTCAAGTCGAAAATCGAGACTATTTTTGGGACATTCCTATAAAATAAACAATATATTAATTATTCTAATTATAACTTTTTTTCTGTTATAATAATAATTATGTTCGTTAATAACAAGGATTATTAAATTCTTTTGATTCATTCAATAATTTTTTATGTAGTATAAGTTGAGTTCCTCGTGCTTTTAGCTATTATAATTAATCTGGTCCATATCATTCTCATTATTCTTATCACAAATATGGATGATTTAAAAAACATTTTCTTATATTTGATTAATTTAACACCAATTATTGTCAAAAAAATGTAATTATACTTTAGTTATAAATTTCTAAATATCATTTTTGAACAGTAATGATACATACATGAATGTTACAGGAATAATATCTTTTCGATGACCCTGTGCAATCTTCAGAACCATCTTGTCTAGGAACAAAAACAAAATAATAAATATTATGTATATTAATTAATTAAACATTCATTATTCAAGTACATTAGTGATAGTATAATGTCGTATTATGCAAAAAAAGAAACGTAGTGTAATGGATCCCATTTGTTGATATTTGCCAAATAAAATAACAATACCACTAATATTTTTCACTAATGACCTTTTTGTATAGATTGTTTAGGTAAATTTGTTAATAATACAAGTTTACCTTGAAACTCTTTTTTCAGATTAATAATAATAAAGGCGTAGCAAATAATCATAGACTTAGGAAAAATGAAAGTACTTATCCAATATGTTTTCGATTGATGAAACAGTTCATTGTTTTAAACAAAAAAAATCAGACTAAAACATTAAATAATCAATTGCAAACGAATTTTATTTAACAATTATGTCATAAAGATAGGTTGATGTAATTAATAATAATTACATCAACCTATAATAATCAGTGGTTAATTTATAAGTGAAAGGGATATTTAGTTCAAACTTGACGTTTCCTTTTTAATCGCACGGCTACTAATAAAAATTAAAATTCCAGTAAGTGATTGATTTTAATTTGTTCAATTTAGAATTTAAGTTTGCATGTAATTCCAAAAAAATAATATACAGCTCTACTAGAAATTAATTAAACTTATCTCATGTAATATAAAATTATCCAAAACATTAAATTATTCCACATACAAGAAATGTCTGCTGTACATGATTTTACATACATCATTGGTCATTGTTTATTAAGCGACAGTGAAATTAATTTAATTAATATAATAAATGTATGCTAGGAATCTCTTAAAATACCTGGATGTTAAACATCTTCTGGTTTGAAATGCAACTCCCCCGCCGCAACTACGTGAACATTGGCTGTCATCTGACCACGGACTCCATTCGCCACTTTCCGGGCTACTGTTTTCCAAGTATACATGGTATTCTGGTACGAATCCAGAGCTACTAAATGTAGTGTTCCATTGTTGTCTTTTATGTCGACCATGACGTAGGTGATGCTAAAATATAAACCATATGATTTAATTAGGTATAAATATTTTATTTTCCAGTTGAAATATATATTGTATTTTATTTATGCAATAAACTATTATATTTTTAAACAGACTAGCCGTACCAATTATTTTTTTTAAAATTCTATATAGCATAAAAAAATTTAGATATTGGTTCTTATAGCTATATAACAAAATTTTTAATAATAAATATATTTAAACATGGTTAACATAATATTGAACAGTTTGTTGATTTGTATTTTGACTAATTTCTTTTTTTGCCACTTTCTTTTTGATATTATATTTAAAATGTTTTTAAATTTATATAATTACACTTTTATTTTTGTATCTTAAAGCTGCATAATTTATTATTGAAATATTAAATATCCTTCTTAACAAATGTAATAGGTGAGTAAAATAAATTATAAATCAAAGTTAAAATAAAAAATAATAAAATTGAAAAATCCTTTAAAAATTAATAATTATGATTATTACATAATAATTACATTCTATATCCCCAAATTTAAACACCAGCATAAATCAAATGAAATTTAAGCAAATTCACTTAGTGTAATAGTAATCTTACTATAAATATAAAGAAGAGTTATCTAAGATAGTAAAGTCGTAAAATCAAAATTAATTATGATAATTTAATTAATTTAATAGCAGAATAAAAAGTAAATATCAAAACTATTAAAGATATATTTTGTATACTTTAGGTATGAATCTGAAATTAATTAATATATTGAATGGTGGAATATAAAGTACTCGTAGTTAACCATGTTTCAGAGTTATAAGTTTGAAAATATTTAAATTGTATATAAGAATTGGTATGAAATCATATAACTAATAGGCCATTTAATTCGGAAGCATGAATTCCACAAAATAGTTATGAAAACAATTTATATAATCGTTATATAGAATTACGTGAAACAAATTGTACTTAATATCAAAGACACGTCACTTTTATTAAAGAAACAATTTTATTAGTTTAATTGTTGTATTATTTGTATTTTCTAATCCACCAATGATATTATATACTTACTTACATAAATGTTATGATATTATAGACACCTTTATTATCCTATATTTATGGTGTTCACCTTTTATGCATAACGATATCTTATATGTGGTTCATTAAAATATAAACTTCTATTTTATCCATATAATATTGTATTTAATTATATCATAACAAACGAGTTAATAATATCTAATAAAAATAAAGACTTGGTAAAAATTGTATACTGGCTATAGTGACCGAGACTAGATACGTAGTAACTAACACATGAGATCGAGAGTTCGTTAGAGGTGATTAATGGAGTGTTAAAAATAACGCCACAACACCCTGTCACGGCCTAGGTTCTTCTCACGATTTTCTAATCATTGGTCGTGAAAAAAAAATATAGCGTAAAATGAAAAAAATAACTGTGCAATGTTGATTGTTGTGTATCGATTACTAAAAAAAAAAATAATGGAGTAAAATATACATGAATTTTTATACAACGGACATTTTACTCTTAAGCTATGATAATCATGAGTTTTAAACTCTTCTTTTCATACACACACACAGACACACAGACACACACATACGCACGCACGCACAAACACATGCACAAACACCATGTGAGTACCTGTACCTATGTGTTGTATATAATTTATATATATTAAACCTACTTATGAGATACTCATCTACAAAAAAAAAAAAAAAAACGACCTATTCCTGTGAATATATAATTCACATAATATATAATTCATCTCCATAATAGACGGTTTGTCTTAAATTACGTAAATATTTTGTTTAACACTACCAAAATATCTACCGAGAAATACAAGATATTTAATATGTTTGATATATTTGATATCTCCTATTTAATAGAATAATTACATTGAACAAGTTCTATAACAATAATTTATTATAGAATATTTTTTTTCTTTTAAATATTTTATGGAAGGTTAAGTTTCTAAGTAAATAATAAGGTTTATTATTGTAATATTAATCGGAACATTATTGGACTAGAAAATAATTAAAAAGGCTGATTTTTTGAATCGTTTAAACATAATACTCTCTTGAGTTTAATAAACTTAGACTATCTAGACAATTCATTTGAAAACTAATTATCTTAGTATTTTGTGGTTCATTTTTTTTTTTTTTTTGTATTTTAAGACTGATCTTTAAAACTGTGTTTACTATTTGGAATATAATAAATTGGAACATAAAAAATTAAGTTATTTTTAATGTGGTTTAATAATTTAGGTCCATATTATTTATTACATATATTGAGCTAAGAATACAGGATAATCGTTTAAATAACAATAAATTCATCAAATATTTTAAAACAATGTAATTGTGTTTCACATGGTTGTAGTATGACTTATATACAGATTCAATGAAAATTTATGGTTATTAAATGTTATATCGTTAAAAAAAATTATTTAAAACATTTTTAATGTCAAAAATGATTTTGCTTTAAAATATTTAAGAAGAAGCCTGTATTTTGGGTAGGTATTCATATCCTATAGGTATGTTCAATTTCAAAATTGTTTATTTTAGAAAAATGTAATCATATCTAATATGAGGTTATTTTATGGTAACAGAGGGATAACATTCAATCATAATAATACAAATGATCTGAACACAGCAACAATTTTCAATCATAATATTGACCATGAACAGATAAATAGTCGAATTTTCTACGCACCGTGGCGTCAAATATCATTGTAAAAAGAATATTATATTTTACTATTATCATTTCTACAAACACCTTATTCATATTTCATATTTTCTAACCAAGGACAGCCCTCATCGGAGAGTATTGTAATTTTTTCTTTAAGAGTGCGTTAAACTTGAAAAGAAGCTCAAAATTCAATTACACGAATCGTCAGTACAACAACCTATTAAAAATCATTAATTCTACGTATAAAGGCAATTTTGTATGATTGATTTTATTATATTTTTATATTAATGAAATTAAATATACTTAAAATATGTATTATATTTTTAATAATATTCGTTGTACATTTTAGTGAAAGTTACACACAATTATTTTTAGTATAATGTATTCATCAAATAAAATATAAGATCCTATAACTTGTAATATTAATTATTACATATACCTACATAATAGTTAAGTTTGAAAAATAGATTGATGTTAAAATGAGCTATTATCTTATATATATATAATAATATTACTAGTATTTCAAAATACCATAATATAAATTTAATGACCAAAATACGTTTACTAATTATTATATTCTATGTATATTTGTAGTATATTACTATCCTTATCATTAATTTACAAAATTTGGATTATATTTTAAAAGTGGCTATAATTAGACAAAATGATTAATTAAAATATATAAACCTCTCATTACTAGTAGGCACTTATATAAATTGAGGAATTTTATAAATACAATGATAAATGTGCTTTGAAGTAAATGTTATAATAATTATAATTCGGCATTACTATAATAATAAGTACTTCGTACTATCCTCATTGTCAATGATAAATATATATTACCTAAGTAAAACGTGTTTTGAGCTACTAATTCACTGAAACTAAGTTTTTAATTCTTATAATTATTTAAAAATCAATCATATAAAAAAAATGTTCAACTCTTATGTTCAAGCAGTTAATATTTCTAATATTAACTTGTACTTGTTCAATTTAAAGAAACTGTTTTGCTAGTACTCGCTTAAAAAATAAATCTATACTTTTCAGAATAAAGTATTACAGATAGTTGTAAATGCACTCCGGTTTAAACGAAATTAAAACATACATAAAGACCTCCAAATCAGAAAAAATTCAAGGCTACATTTCAATATAAATTTAAAACTCAACTGTTTTTCTATTTAAATATAAATCAGACATTAATTTAATGTCATATTTTACAATTTTTCTTGCATACTATTGAAAACTTTTTTGTATATTTGTAGTTTATAAGTTAAAGATAGACCTCTCATTTTTTTTTTTTTTAAGGAATTAAATTTAATATTTATTAAAATCTATTTATTAAATAATAATTAATTTATTATTAATTAAGTTAAAATTTCAATCAAATAGAAAAAGAAAGTAAAAATGATTAAAAATAACTTTAATACTTCAAATAATTAAGTAAATAATATTATCTAAAAATCTCAAACTCTGTTATAATTAATGAATATGATCAATATAGATATAAAAATATATAATATAAGCCAAGTATACACGGAAATTAGTAGTTGGTACCAGTAGTAGTGGTAATCCTGATAGTGGTACTAGGATTTATTCATGATTTTCTACTAGCAATCTATCAAATATAATTAATATTGGTCATATAAGTAGATATGTATAAATACACACTTTATAAAAGTTGGTTATGTCTTACTAATACTTATTAATATAAATGTATTTATAATTTAATAGTTTTGTACGACTGTAATTTATAATAATAATTAATAATGTATTTAGTTGGAAAAATAAATGAAAAGCTATCTAAATACATTTATCAGGAAAAGGGATTAATTTAAATGAGTTAACTAATACGTTATGTTTAAGTATATAATATATTCATAGGTAGATGGATTTGGTTTTTTTGAAATTAGTACATCTATGAATGATGATTGCAAAAAGTTATACATTCACAACAGGAATAAGACACTAGAATTCTTCATTCATAACTAAAATATTTCATTGATTTGATGCGACTACTAAAATATATGATAATCACGGACGGCAGTTGACTAAAGAATTCAAAGCGTCTATCTATTGTTAGTCTGGGTTCTTTTTCAAACTACCGTCTTTGCACCACCGTCACACATAACTACACTTAACATAAATAACTGCAATAAGCATACACATTATACACATAAAATATATATACAATTATGTGTGTATAATAATAATGTTACAGTAGAAGTTTATTATTGTTTAACAGTGGAATTTTAAAATCCTACTTGTTGTAAGTATTTAACAACGTCCGACCGATTGGAACAACGGGCACGTATTTCTAACAAAAAAAAAAAAAGTCATAAAAATGTATATTTTTTATCTACTCTACTAGTTATGATTACACACAATGTTGTAGGAAATGTTAAATTATATTTAAAAATCTTGTCATTGTAATTTCGTTGATTACAATAAAAGTACCGAATATACCTAGTAGGTAATAAAAAATAATAGGTATACTATATTGCCGCAGCTCATCAAGTTAATTTCGTTTGTACATTTTTTAAGGTATAATTCAAGGGAAATAAGAAATTAATAAACTTTCGAATATTTCGTATTACTTGATATAATTATTGATTAAGTATTTATAAATATACTCACGAAAATATCATAAATTTATGCTATTAATCGTCGTTTTATAATGTTTAAATATTTTAATACATGTAGAGATAAGTTCCAATGTATACATCTGCATACCAACCATTATTGTTGGATTACAAATTATTTCGAAACACATTTCAAAATGTGTATTATTATTTGATTTATAACTCGTGCTGTAAACATAGTATTAAGTTGAAACTAACCATGCACATGATAAAGCTAAACGACACCGTCATTATTGTTACCACTAACACAGTATAAATATGGAGATGCCCAATGCCCAGAAGATTTCCTATCCAATCTTTTACGGGCTTATGAATAATTATAGTTTAATTCGTAACAAAGCGATGAGGTATTTGTCATATTTTTGTGTCCATTGTGTCGCATAAAAAAACTCGACTTTAAATCCTCATTAAGACGTGTTGATAAATAGCTTTAGGTGACCATTATGTTTCCGTTTTGCGGGACAAAAAGGTGGATACATATGTGTAAACTAAAATGCCATACACATGATTTATGATTATATTATGAATTACCTTCTTTATCGTTAAAAAAATAGAATTATCATTTTGTGTGTTTAAACTAGTTGCACCTATTTTAATCACTTGGTGGTAAGGAATAAGGATAACATGATATTAAGACATTTTTTAATAGATTATTTTCATTTTTTTTTTTTTTTAAATTATATAGACATATTAAATCAGAATTATATTGTATTCAATGACAAATGTACAGCTTAAGTTTAGTGAGCGCGGTATACAATTTTATTACACCGCCGTATTTCAAAATATTAAAGTAACGAACTATATAATGTCTATATATATATTATACAATGATACATACATTATTCGGTTTTAAACTTTCAGCTGATTGCAAAAATTAAATTGAAAAATAAATGTACGTATTTACGTAAAAAAGAAGAAAAACTTAAAACTTATTATAATATTATATAAAGAATTTAAAATCAAAATAATCATAGTAAAGCTATTTAATGACATTATAATTAAAGTATGCTTATGCGGGAATTTTAAAATAATACTCATAAAATATATTACTTATAATTTAGTACAGATAAACTATAATAATGAAATACATCAAAATAATACATTATAAATAATCCAACAACTGTTAATCAAGACTAATAATGAAAATAAACATCTCTAACAAGTACTATTAAATACTTAAAGAATCAAGTGAAGTAGTAAATTATAATATCTAAATAATTATGGGGGTCGATGACTTCAATTCTTTACTCTGCTTAAAACAGTGTAACTTTGAGTAATAAAATCACTCATAGTTTTTATACGTTGATGTAATATTAGGTAAGTACTTAAGTTAAAACGTTATTATTTATTAGCAGATTTATGTTTATATGGATAATATTTGATTACATTTCATTGCTTTCATAAGTATTAAACTTTAATAAAGGTTAATAAATATTAAAAGTATAGAATAAATAACCGATGATAACATAATGTTTCTATATTATAGTAATGTTTATTTAAATCTTGTCGTTCGAATGTAATACATAAAAACAAGATGCATCGTTATTATACATAATTTATATCACCCGTTTCTGCACTGCAGATACATATTATACTATTTGTCCAAAACCCAATACGAAAAACTATAAGGGTCTTATGTTCAAATTGATGTATATGAAATTTCTAGACCATCAGTCATTCCAGGTCATACATCATATATCTGTCGACAAGTCCTTCCGTACATTTTCATCACCGTTTGGTCAGTTAATGAAAATCCAGTGAATGAGTCACTTTGAAAAGAATGTATGTATAAATATATGTTTATGAAAGGTATATAGGAGTATATAAATGTACATAATGACGGATCATAGAGTGCACACAACCGTATGTCGCTGTATGTTGCACATTTTAATAAACGCGCCAGACAGCCGATTAGCGGCGAAGCCTTTTGATGTTCGAATTGCACACAATAGTCGTACAATAGTATACACTCGCACATGGCTAGCATGTGTATGGTTTTGATGAATGGGGGTCGAGACCGGACAAGTGTAACATTATAATACGATGCATCCCACAGAAAAATAATATAAATACGTAAAACTATACAAGTAACACTGAGCTAGATCATTATTATTATAATTATCATAAATGCTGTATAATTGTAATAAAAATGCAAGCTACAGAAAAAAAACTTACTTTATTTGATACAGTCACAGAGATATTATATGATATAATTAGTATCAAAAGTGCCAAGTACCTAAAACAAAAAAATAAGACATTAAACATTTTTTTATGCACAAACGATAAGTAAAGATGTTAAAAATAATCATAATATTGCAAAATTTACAATTGTTTATCTCATAATATTGTATTTTTTTTCTGATATTATTTTCAGTTCCATATGATAATTCATAAATGTAGAGGAAGCAGTAATACTTTATCAGTAAATAACAGCTTGATAATCTTCTTGTGTGGGAATCGTCACACGTGTCATGTAATCACACAATGAAATAATAAAGAATCGACTGTTTTGCGTTGGATGTTTTTTTGTGAGAAAATATTTTCAAAGAATAATCGTATTGTAAAAAATATTAATTTCCACTGTATACTGTTAATTTTTAAATGCGTTTTTAAAGAAATATTTGATACCTATAAAAGAATCAATAAGTTTTATCTTAATTAATCTGGGCTGGTTTTGTCCGTTAATGTAATTTTTGATATTTTTCGATTTTCAATTACCTATATTTTAATGAATAACATTTAAAAACTCATTATTTCTTAGTCTAGCTTCGAAATGTTTTTAAACAGTAATTTATAATTTAGAAAAAAATGATTTATAGTTCTTATGCGTTAATCATTATAAGATATATTCAAATCAATGTTACATATAATTATATAACGTATAGTAGTAATGTATTCTATTACAATATGACAATAAATATTATAGTTTAATTTACCCGTATAATTTATATTCAACAACTAAGTTTTTAAATCATAATTAATTATTATTCCTATTGTATTATACAGCGTTTACAAAACACATCATAGATCAGTAAATTTTAAAACAAATCAAATTTAAGATTCAATTAATTTTATGTATATAACTGAACCCTTCACTATTTTACGATTACTTAAGTTTTGTCAATTATTTAGACTGATAATAAACTTTTAATAACAAATCTATAATACATAACAAAATCAATCAACGAAAATGTATAATATTTCTTTATACACCATACTTTATAGTTACTTTTACATTTCACAATCATAAGGTATACATTTTTATTTCGTAGTACGTACAAACTTTTATATTAATTTTTAAATATGTATGTAGAAATTATGCATACAAATTGCATTGTTAAAATTTATCAAGAATCATAATAATAATAATAATAATAATCAAAATACATATAAAAATGACTAATAACAAAATACTAAATATACGCTGTCCAAATGTCCTACGTTTCTGATTTTTAAATACGTAATAATATTAAATTAAAGAAACCGATAAATTGGATTTAAAATTATAATAAATGAATATTTTTGGACTGTAAAATGCTTCCTTTATTTGTCTATTAATACAACGCATGATAACCAGATTGAAACAGGATGAAAAAAGCATAACTATTCGTCTACAATTAAAAACAGATGTAAGACTATGTAAACAGGAACACATTTCACGTTATTACTCATATTTCGATATTTTGGTTAAAGTTAATAAATATTTTCAGATTGTTAAAAATAATATTATATTATAGAACTAAATACACGTATTGACAATACTAAGTTTTTGTTAATGAAAAATTTTTCGACTCCTAATTAATTTTTGTCGGTCAATTATTGTTGAGTAACATTAACATTTCAATTAATCAAACAGATAATTGAACGGTCAAAAGTAAAATATAAATAATACATTCCAAACTGTACTTTGGGAATCGTGGTGTCTATAAAAGAGGTTTGTAATACCATTAATAAACAGAAAAGTGAAAACTTTAGTAATCACAACAAATATCTGTGTACGCAGGTACTCGTTTTATTAATTTACTGATAGCTTATTATTATACAAGTATTAAAGTAAATAATTATTTTGAATACAAATATTTTTATAGGTCCAAAAAATATATTATTAATTCAATACATTTTTTATTTGCATTTACAAATATATAAATATTTATAAGTATAGGTTACTTGTGTACGTTTTCTTTTCAATTTAATATAAAAATATATTTGCATTGAGCCAAAGATAGACAAGACGGGGGAAATATTAATATACCAATCATATCCACAATAAATTGAAATTAAAATGATTTTAATTACTTTATAAAACATAATTTATTGATTTAAAATTAAATGAAAAACATATGATCCATTACGAATAACATTTTTTTCATTCGATAAATTATACATTATACTATATACAATAGATATTGTTAATATTTTTTTATTTTAGATTATGTGTACATATTTCATGGTTCAAATAAATATTATGTTTAAAGTTAATTTTTATTTATTACTAATGCTACAGTATTGTAATATCGCTTTTATTGTTTGTCTATTAAAGAAGCTAAAATATCAGAGGTGTAAAATAACGAAGTTGGTTAGACGTTGACAGTAGAGCAGACAAATAAATCTTAATTCAAATGGAATGAATGTAGAAAAAGCAGTCAACTAAGAAAAAAAGAAAAAAATTAGGTAGTAGAAGAACAGTTTTAACGATTTAATCGAATATCAAGGGACACGCATTCCTACCGACCGATTATTATAGACCGGTAAATAAAGAAAGCATCAAAAGTAACCGACAATGTTCACTATAAGGGGCAGGATAATAAGAAACAATGATACCGTATAATATTGCAGGTACCTATAAATTATCCCTTTTTCTGAAAGATTACTGTGTTCTAAAATAAATATCAAAAAAATTATTATTTTAACCCATTCTTTTACGAAATATCTACGTACTTTTATCATATAAAACTATTAATACATACTACAATATCATGTCGTGTTTTATTATTTAGGTATAATATTCAATAGTACGAATCAGTTTCAGTGACAGCATCTCAAAAATACATGACAATCACTTTAGTTAAACAAACTAAATAACTAACTAAAATAACTAATAAAAACTAACTAAAAGTCTTTAATTATTTTGAAAACTATAGAATATCTTTAAGAAGTTATTAAATCTAATAATGTATACATTTTCCGCATTAAAAATGTATACTTATACACACCTTATTTGAATATTTAAATTTATAAACATAACTATAATATAAATCTATGATTCATACATAGTTAAAATTAATCAATTTATATTATCATTGTGAGATTTCTAGTTTAGATTATTTTTATATTTTTATAACTTTTCTTTGGTGGCCGTCTGGTTATATCTGCGATGATTCACTGAAATAAATAATTTGTATGACACTTATCATTGTTGAACACCACTCGTCAATCATAAGTCACTAGAGTTTTAGGAAAAATAATTATCTCGATGTATCCCTAGTTTATGTATTCGACTGTCGGCGGGAGATCATCTTCGAAATCCTCTACCTCAGGACTAACAATATTATATGCTGAATGCGCAAGACGAAGAGCGGTCGATTAATAATCATTGCTCTTCGTAGAACATGTTTACATTTCGAACTCGTTTAAAATGTTATTTACAACGCGGACGTTTTTATTGTAACACGATGGTAGTTACACAGGAGGGAAGATAACGAAGTAAAGAGCTATAGGTTTTATATTCATATTGAATGGATTTTATTTTATTTTAACGAGGTACGATAACCCGCTGTTTCCATTATCTCACCTTAAATTAGTGTTTTTTTTCTTATTTATTTTTTTTACATGTACACGCAAATAACCATTTATTTAACCGAAATATAAATACTAGCCGTAAAAATTCTTATGGGGTGCTCACAATCTTACATCACAATAATAACCGAATCGATCCTGTTTTGTTTTCCCCGATGAACACCGGTGATAAGACAGTTTGATGAATTGTGAAAGTCATTGATATAGAAGTAAGCTTAAAGTGACCGCCTGCGTATAGTGTTAGTGTGAACGTTGCGATGGCGGGGACCACCCGCACAGAGGAGACTTGAACGCGACTTCGGATGTAATAATAACTCAAACAATAATATTTCAGTGCCGGTTCTTCACATTATTAATCATTCTGCTACGGTTACCACTAGTACTACCGCCATCATCAAAATCACCTTCACTATTATATGTAGCAATTATATAGAGCTATATTAAATGATACGTACAGACTTATATTATACTACACATCGAAAGGATTCAATTTAAACGTTTTAAAATTCAATATCCTAATATTATATTTTCTGATAGACAATACTCGATTGAAGTGTTTTTAATTTTACAATCAAAGATATTTTAAATTTAGAAAATATTGCATTGAAAATTTAATTAAACATTAAGTATAATTACTTCCTAAATTGTTCTGTTTGAAGAAATTAAATTACGATAAAAGTGTTCAATAATAAATAACACAATGAATCTCAATAATAGTAATGATATAAAATGTATTGTAACCAGAAATAGGTACATTACGTTGTCCCGGGACAGTAAAATTATTACCTGAGAGCAAAAGGTTATTTAAGTGCATTGTATGATAATTGATATGTACCCATAGGTCATGTTGATCATTGTAGGTACCATGTGATTTAAATTATATGAACATAAAAAGTTTTAATGAACTAGGTTAACATAAAAATCAAATTAATTATAAACCTCTAACTTCAATTTAACACAGGTAAAAATGTTAAATTTATTGTTATTATTATCAATAAAGTGTTATCTTAAACCTATTATGTTTTAGTACTTACTATACAAATAATTCAAGCATCACAAAAAATTAGTATTTTTTTTTCTAATGTGTTTTTCAAAAAAGATAAGTACTTATTATTACCGAAACATTATTTTTTAAGGTAACAATTTTTAAAAATAACAGAGTTTTTTTATCGAAAATGTTTAGCTTTTTATTTTATATTTAATTAAATATGTATATATTAACTATATTATCACATGTTAAAATTCTTGATATTTTCAGTTTCTTTAACGTAATAAGTTATATTGTTATACATTAAAATAGTGTTTATAAGTAATATGTTCTATGTATATCTTAATAGTATTTATTTTGATAATATAATAATGAGTATAAAAATAATAACAAATTATTTCAAATATAGTAAAACTTGCTTTACTTATAATAATTTTACCAATTAATTGGTA